ATATTTTTTACTTTATAAGTATTGATAGATTATCTTTTCCATTCCTCAAATTCATTCCTGTCATCTTACTTTCTCTCTGTATCTACTGTTTTTTCATCTATTATTTTTATACGATCGCTATTAATCAGTACCAATTGATCAGAATTAAGTTGTATGACATTATCTTACTTTCACAGCGATATTTTAAGTTGTCCCCAATACAGTTCATAAAGACACAAGGGACCGTAATTCTGAAATAAAAAAATATTGAAGCCCGTCAACTGATCAAGAGCTGTAATAAAGTTAACTGTAATCGAATCTACTTCATTGCATGCAATTCAGTCAAGATGGGTGCGCCGGACATTTGTTATTTGAGCAAAGAGCTGCTAGGGGTTACGGCGCCGGCTTACTTATCTGCTGGTTTAAGTACGTCTCTATATTATTTACTAGTAACCCGCCCTGTCTTCGCATGGTTTTCGAAAATAAAACACTACTTATATTATTCGCTGATAATATTACAGGTAAAAGAATTTTTAAATCGGTTAAGTAATATTTAGTTAATTCATTACAAATAAAAAAATTCGAATCGATATTTCCTCTCTTTATAATAATATAGTTTAGACTAGATTTTGCCCGCAACTTCGTACGCGTATATTTTAAAAGTAAATAACCACTTCTAGATGGTGATATTAAGCTATATTAAGCCTTTAGGATCATAACTCGGAAAAACACATTTAATCTAGTACAAAAAGGGAATAGGTATATACCTACCTCTAGTAGTGATGTTTTCTTATCTCTTTTTGGAAAAACTGTATAATTACATTGCACAATTCATACCATAACAAACCACGAAAGACCCACAGCAGGGCACAAATCACACCCACAGGGTATATAAGTACATATATATAGTCAATAGATAATAAAAGGAAAAATAATCAATTTGCAAATTTCTAATTTTGCAGTCTTATCTTTACTTACATCATTTACAAAAAATTACAATGAATCAGTACTAACTAATTAATCTTACAAATGATTTTTTAAGCCTTTAATCTCATTTATTAATAATGAAAAGGATCTGATTAGTCGTGTAAAAACTATTTTAATCAAGATTTCTGAGCCGAGTCATATCTAATTCTTTTATTGAATTGAAATTAAATTCAATTGTTTCAAGTACAAATAAAAATCAAAATATATGTATTGAGAAAAGTTTATCATACAATCTTTAAATTAAAATTGCAGTTTGTTGTATTGTTATCCTTTCTTTCTTCTTTTTTCTTTCTTCTCCATTCTTCCTTTCTTCTTCGTCTGGATCTAAGCTTGTTTATATCATTATTGATAATAATAATATCAATACCTACTTGTACAACAATTAGTCCATTATCCTAAGGTTGTCTTGAAAAGATTGCTCTCAGCAATAAAACCGCCTTACTTTATTTATACAATTGTATCGTTATACTTATTAATTGTCTTGTTTATTTCCTATATTATATAATGCAAATAAAATATACTCATTCATTATTACCACTTCATGCTTTGACGACTTATCTTCATGAAATTTGATATGCAAATGGAACATTGAGAAGGACATAAGCCACTTTTTCTCCCGATAATACAGACGATCTCGCGGGCAGGGTAGTTTAATAATCGGTAATATGAACTTACTATCTCTTGAAGACCTATAACAGATCAACATACTTCACTTAGCCACTCTTTTTAAGTGATAAGAGCAAGCGGAATTCATAATATTTTGCAGCGTTTGAAAATTAAGTGACTGTGTGGTGATGTAGTAAGAATACAAAGTGTCACCACTTCTTCTCCATACTGAAGACGTAGTAAAAGAGGATTAAGAAAATAAAATATACCATAGTGTCACAGACTTAGAACTCAATATTAAACTCTTCATGCTGTCTTGCTTATCTACAATACACAAGTCCGCGTTCTAAATTCAAATATTTTAAATCTTTTTGTGGAAATATTCGTCCTCGGTTTTGTATATTCTTTTTTAATTTTAAAATAAGAACAAAGGGATGATCAATCGACAGTATGGCAATTAAAATCGCTGTTTTTTGTGAACCAAAATCTACTTGTGCCTATTTCTTTCCTAACGCTACATTAACCCTTCATCGCTCACTCTAATGACTTGATCCGATACACAACACAGGAAGCGATGATACAATTGGCGTTGTCAGCGACAATTTAGTAAAGCCCGCGCCCGGACGACGGTCATTGATTCCTCGAGATGGCGCCATTCGGCCCGCTTTGTTTTTAACTCTTTTATATCCTGCCATTGACTCATCGCACGATACAACCTTGATGGTCCCGACAGAAATAGAAATGGGATTGTGACCGCGTTGACTATTTTTAGCAATTAGTTGTAACTACAAGATCATGATGATCTATTAATTAATGTAATTGTAGCAAATTTTTATCAATTTTTACCACAATTTAGGTTTAAAACTGAATTATCAATAAACTGTATCCGCGAATTTGTTATTTTAACAGTTATAACATTGTTATTTTAACAAAAACTAACATTTAAAATCTAGAAAAATATGTTTAGACAAAAACAACACCTATTTCAATTATGATAAAGTCATCGATTCATGCGTAGGTCTTTCATAGTTTTTTGTTTTTTTTTTTTATTATTTAATTAGACTGACCACTGAACCAATGGTCTTTTTAGGCTAAAACAAGCAGTGATTTTCAGATTTGCTTTTAAATAAAGCTATCATCAAGCTGTGATATACTATTTGTTTCACAGCAACACACATGGCGAGAACATTTTTTTTTTTTATTTTACCTATTTTATCTTTTTTGTTGTATTTTTATAATTATATAAGACATTATATGAATTTTGTTGTTAATTAAAATGTATCATAAATGACTAAAAACAAAATTAATATGGGACTAAATCATGTCGGCTGTTATAAAAAAAATATACAGTCGAATGTGGAACTTCTTTCTTTTTTGAAGTCGGTTAAAAATTATCAAAATCGATTTAGTATTTCGAATGACGTAATAGTATAAAGCACAACATATCCACTTAAACCATACTGTTTTTTTTTATGGGTGAAAATGGCATGGTAACCTCGCCTGCGCTAACGGGATACGTTGGCGGAGCACCAGTGAAGGGTGATAGATGAGAATGAAAACAAGTCAGTTAGCCCATCATGATGAATTCATCATTAATTAACCATGATAGTTTCTAGGGAGAACCGCGAGGAGGTCGACCTGATTGGGTATATTGCTAGCAATGGAAATCTCAGTTTCCATTACTAACAATTTCTTTCCCCCTAGACCATACTGTTATATACATACATGTATACATAGTATATATTCGTGATTCCTGTCTCCCATTGAAGTATATATTGAACATTTTTTAATGGGTGATAATGGAATGGTAACGTCGCCTGCGCGATTGGTACACACCGGCGGGGCACCAGTGAGGAATGATAAGTGAAAATGAAAGAGCAGGTCAGTTAGCCCATCGTGATAAATACACCTGGAATATAGCACGATGGTTTCCACGTGAAGGTCGACCTGACGAGGTATATTGCTAGCAATGGGACTGGTAATCCGCATTATTAACAATCCCTCCCCCCCCCATATATTGGGTGTTTTTTTTTGTTGGATGAAAATGGATTGGTAACCCCGCCCGCGCTAACGGGATATACCAGTGAAGGGTGATAGATGAGAATGAAAACATGCCAGTTAGCCCATCATGATGAAATCATCATGAAGAATTAATCATGATAGTGTCCAGGGGGAACCGCGTGGAGGTCGACCTGGTTAGATATATTGCTAGCAATAGGATTTTTAGTCTCCATTACTAACAATCCCTTTCCCCCCTATATTGGGTGTTAAACTCATACAGTTTTTATATTGAATACGTTCCTACTCATACAGGTATTTCTAAAAATATACCATAAACAACGCCCATGTACATGGGTGCTTTAAATTATCTAATATCTCCACTGACGTCAGGACAGAAAGCCTTATTATGAAGTGTTATTATCATGTATGGAACAATGATATTGCAAATACGCTTTTATTTTGGCATTGAACATTTATCCAATATGTAAATGAACTAGTTGTATGCCACGGATTTACATGCACGTATTAGAAGAAATTTTGTACGTATAATTTAGTATAACTGTAATTTTAATTTCATACAAATTTTTCAATAATTTCAATAGTAATATTAGTCTGTAACAAACATTTACATCAGCCACTAATTATCCATTGCTGAACATAGGTTTCTCACATTAGAGGGGTTTTGCCAGTAGTTGCCACGCTTGGCAGGTGAGTTGGCAACTGAAGTTAACTTTTAGTAATGTATTAAGACAGACGCTACTGCCTACTCCTCAAACATTAAGTTCCCTTAGTCACCTCTTACGACACCCATGGGAAAGGAAGAAGTGGCCCGTTTTATGCTGGGACCATACAGTGACAGCGATATTCAAATATAGTATTAATTATAAATCATGATCGTCAATTTAAATATCCAAACATGTTTCCAAATATTTATAAATAATACCTCATAACAGGAAACACTAATTATAAACAAATATAATTAGTGTTAAAAATGTAATAAATGAGATTTCTCATGTCATGTTTTACAAACAAAATATTGTTGTTTTACAGCATTGCAATATTGCATTTATAATGCATTGTTTATATACAGATTAAACTGTCGAAGATATTTTATTAAAATTTGACATGACTGTTCTTGAATCAAACGGAACAAATTTTAGAATGTGTGTGTGTGTGTGTGTGTGTATATATGTAGGTTAGTGTGAGTGTGTGTCACAATTGACTTATTTTTATTATTATTTTAAGGGCTTTTACCTTCTTCAAATATATCAGACCTATCGTACCCTAAACTGATTTCTCAAATAAAACTTTATCTACTTTCCCTAGACACGGAAAGAGAAGAATTAATGGGCATCAATAATTTACGGAGATGTTCAAATATTTCTGGTTTAGGTTCAGCTAATATAGATTGAATAAAACCAACACAATTGACTTTATAATTGACAAATTTTATAACACAATTTACTCATAAATACTCCTTTAGAATTATGTACATAAATATTTCAATTTGTGAACGCAACATCGAATTATCCAGCGGTCCACAAGTAGCCGGATTCGCCGAGCACACTTGGCACTTTCGGCACGCTGCGCAGGCGCCACCGAATCGCTCTCTTCCTCTCACGCGCACTGATTGTCCTTGCTCTTATCGACCTTATCCTGTTTTGAGATGTCCGCTCTAATTCTGAGGGAACTGTTTATTCGTATATAAGTCGCTGGTTTTGTTGTTTGATATTATTTCTCGATAAGTATGTAAATGCAATTAAACTAAAGTGGCCCTTATTTATACGCTGGCAAAGTACCAACAAGGGATAGGAAGAAATTTAATCAATTAACCTATTGTGAAAAGTTTATAGAGACACGATCCACGATGATAACCAGAGAATACCGAATAAAGTTAGATCTGATATAATAATATATATGGTCAGCAATGGGGCTATTAGTCCCTGTTTTTATATGATGATGATATTGTGCCAAAATCTTGACTTCATTGCGAACAATACCTGAAAAATCACTTAGAAAATGGCGAAATGATTTGGATGCATATTGGGTTGAAGTTTGTACTGTGCAAGAATCGAACCTGAAACAAATGAAAGTAGAAGGGAGAGCGATTTATAATAATAGGGATTAGTAGCCTTATTACTATTAATATAAGTTGTCTAATCAACCTTCTCGTGGTCGCCCCTGAAAACCATTGTGCTTAACTCCAAGCGAATTTATCACGATAAGCTAACCTGATCTATCTTTTCATCCTCACCTATCGCCACTCACTGGTGGAAGATGAAGCAGTGTGTTAAATCGCTACAGCACCAATCAAACATTTGTTTTCGGTTTTATTTATTAATCGTTTTTATATTACTATTTACAAAATTCGAAATTGACATATTTTTCTTTTGTTTCCATTCACGGTCCTAGTCTTTCAAGTTCTTTCCGCCAATATACATATATTCCCAATTTCCATACCTGGTATCCTTTGTTGGCCACAATTTCTATGGGACCAATCTGTTAGTATATCTTTTCAGATAAAAAACAAATTTCCCAATCGGTTTAAAATTTACGGAGTTATAAGATACGAGTAACAAATATAAAAAGAAATAAAACCGAGAATCTTCTTCTTTTATAAGTCGATTGAAAACCCAAAACAAAGTTTACTAAATACTGTATTATCAACAAATTTTGCAGTGATTACTGTTCGCATACATTCCGATAAGTTTAATCACTTAATCCACTTGTAATTATCTATTTAATTAGTTGTAGTTAGGTGTGTTTAATTGGACACATTAAAATTATATAAATTACATACTATGACAATTAATAGAAACTATTTTGTTACAAAAAATATAAATTATACTCTAATAGCTATAGATTAAATCTAATTTCCTACTGCTGGGAACAGATTTCTTCTTGTTTTTAAAGCTTATGTTTATTTTTATTCAATTAATGAACTCGCTGTGTTTTTGTTGTTTCCGACAACTGTTTCAACTTCATTCGGAAGTCTTCTTATACCAATCGTTAACTGTCCACTGCTGAACATAAGTCTCCACCATGACGAGGTGCTTTGCTAGTAGTTGCCATATTTAGCAGGCGAATCGCTATTGGACTTCGGTGATAATTAAAGAGCGACGCTGCTGCCCATCCCTCGACCATTAAGTTAGTCGCTTCTTACGACGCCCATGAGAAAGAAGGGAGAAACTATTTTCGTCTTGATCAATTTATATAGAATCAAACAATACGACTTTTTCGAGTTTTATAATCTAAATCGTTACGTCTCGACCAGAGACATCTTTAATTAGTTCTCACCGTCCTAAGGTTACCTGAAGAGATAGTTATTCAGTGATAAGACCTCCCATTATTGCCTCTTTATTTTGCTTCTTGCAGTTATAATCTTCTTTTTATGTATACATTGTTATGCAACTATATTACTCTTTGAAAGAGAACAATAAAGAGTTTACAATCCTTCCTTCATGACTGAACACCTAAAAAAAATTCACAGTCATTTACAAAAAAAATACATTCAAATTGAAACCCCTCTTTTCGAAGTCGGTTAAAAATCAATTGAGCAACTCATCAAAGCAATAGAACAATGACAGTGGCCTGACACTTCACGCGCTGTGAAAGTGATTGCGAGAGCCCTAATACGCGGGGGCAGGAGTCGAGTAAATCAAGACGGGCCAATTCGTTGACATGACAAACTTTCAATTGGACAAATTGCTGGCAACACCACTAATGCAACATGCTAAATTGTTTGCTCTTAGATAAGACTTGAGAGTCTTGGAAGAGCATGATATTTATAATTATGGTCTGGTCACAGTAGAACGTAACGATAAGGTTTGTTGAAATTATAACACTGTAAATAAAATTAATAACAAATCAAAACATTCAAGATCTACCCTAAGCAAGTTGGCTTTTAAACACAAATTGCGCATCTATTTAATAGAAAAGTCACTTTCCCTTTAAACTTCTCTTGCTGGTTACTCTGTATGAGTCATAGATTGCTATTTGCTCTTCTATTACAGTTGTTTTATTTAATTGTTTTATACAGTATTATTTTATGTATTTATTATATGTATATATTTTTTTTATTTAATATGTATGTTTATATTAGTCTAATTGTATGTTTATATTACATGAATATATCAAGTATTTTTATTTTTCCTCTATTCAATTATGCACAGCTTACGTGTTTCTCGGTTTGCCCAATGATTGACTGGTAGAGAACACCGTCCAGTGTAAAGTCCGCCAAATGTACAATACATAGAATTTTACTGTAGATTACAGTTTAAATAAATAAATAAAATAAACATTCAATCAGTTAATCTATTTTTGACTTGTATTACTATAAAACAGCAGCGGACAATGTTATGTTTAAGGCCATTATTTGTTTTCATTTTCCTGAAGTTCTATCAAAACGAACTTTATATAAAATCATATTTTTATTACAGTTCCTGAACGTATTCCATCTAATAGAGATAATTCCGTTTTGCTTTACAAAAATAATAATTACACGTACAAACACACGCACGCACGCACGCACGCGTACACGCATGCTCGTACACACATACGCAGTACGTAAGTACGTACCCACGCACACATAAACGACGAGATGTTGCGTAGATAATTTACATTGTAAATATTTTAGTTGAATTTAGAATTTGTTTCGTAACAAGCAAATTTTTCCTCCACAATGAAAATAGGCTACTTCGTAAGCAACAAAATTAATATGTAATCAACAAGACTCTATTGATTGAAAATTGAATAGCGAAAATTGATTTTTTTAATCTTAATAATTCACAAAATAATTTAAGGAATTTTAAAATCGACTTTTGTAATTCGAAATAAATTATCAGATTAAAGAATAGGTGGGACTTTTATTTATTTAAAAAAATTATTAGGTACTTTTTTTTAAATGGATGATAATGGAATGGTAACCCCACCCGCGCTATCGGTATACACCGGCGGGGCACCAGTGAAGGATGATAGGTGAGGATGAAGTAGGTCAGTTAGCCCATCGTGACGAATTTAACAAGAATTGTTCACGATGGTTTCCAAGGGGAACCGCGTGGAAGTCGACCTAATAAGGTATATTGCTAGCAATGGGGCTGTCAAACTCCATTACTAACAATCCTTTTCCCCCAATTATTAGGTACTAGCGGCCCGTCTCGGTTTAGCACGGGTGGACATTTTTACATTTTAAAAAGTGGCCATTAAGGCTGCACACGCGATGGAAGCTTAAAATGGAGTAACTTCTCCCGTTTTTTCAACATTTACCTTCACTGCTCTACTCCTATTGATTGTAGCGTGATGAAAAATAAAACAAAAAAAAAACCTGCTCAGGATTATGAAGAATAATTGTACCAAGTTTCGTTAAAATCCGTAAAATCCGTAGTTTTTGTTTCTATAACGAACCTACAGACAGATAGACAAAAATTTTACTGATTGCATTTTTGGCATCAGTATCGATCACTAATCAGCCCCTGATAGTTATTTTGGAATTATATTCATGTACAGAATTGACCTCTCTACAGATCTATTATAAGTATAGATTTTGACATATTCTTAATAATATAATGAATATATAATCATATTACATTAGGTACCTATACCTACACAGCTGTTTCTTTTAATTCCAAGTTTGAATTATTAAGTTTAAATTTACAGAAAATGTTACTACAATGTGACTTTTTAAATGAAATTAATTTGATGAAATATAAATAAAAATTATTTATAGTAAAATAGAATATTTACATGTTTATAATAAAAATTGAATAGAGGAACAAAACATATGGTAAAATGTCAAGCAATCACTCACTACCAATTGTTTCGGGAAACATGAAAAAGTTATTATAATATCCTTTGATTTTTTTTTCTCGTGTTCGCTAATTAAAAATTGACCTTTCATGAGTTCACACAAATGTCGGTGCCGTGTTATGTCAAATCATAGACACGGCAGATGCGTGTGAGTCATGTGTCGTAATTGTTGCGTGGTGCCGAAATGAGGAAGTGACCTAATAGATGGATAGAAATTGTTCAACTCATATCGTTTTACGGAATTTTAGACTATGCACAAGTAAATATTAAGACGTACTCAAGATGATCATTCGTTCTTCTTAGTGTGGGACACATTTAAAATAAAAACATATAAAAAAGTTAAATTTCTACCACACACCAAAGTCATTTATTTACTTTTATGCAGTATTTTTATAACATTTTACTCTAGTCGCTCGAAACCCTTAGTTCAAGGTTTATTGAGTCTTAGTTCAAGATAGTCAACTAATTAATCTTACTGGTCTAGTTCTCTAAACAAGTGGCAAAAGAATTCATCGACGGAATCGACATCACTAGCGAATCTGTTGGGTAGAATGAGATAACATTGTCGGATGTCTCATTTAAACTTATGAACTCGTTTTCGACAACATTTCCATCGATGGATTCGCTTGCCACTTGTCAAGAGGGTCAGACAGGCGGGCAGAAACCAGGTCCGTACTTAGGCAACAATTTGGCTAGCTGAATGACTACTGACTTATTTAGGACTTATACAGAATCGTTAAACTAAACAATTTGAAAAAAATGAGATCTTTTTTTTTAAAATGGCTTAAAAGTGTTTGTTAATATCCAAAATTAACACAACATAAATACATTTTGTTTTTTATACAACTTAGAATGGCAAACAAGCTGACGGCCCACTTGATGAAAAGTGGTAACCGTCGCCTAGAGACATGAGCACTACCATGGACATAACAGAGTATACTGTTTCGCCCATTATACTATAATATACATTTAATAAAAAAAAAATGTAATTTACAAATTATGAAGACAATAGAAAAAAAATTCAAAACGATTTATCAACTCACAGTATTATATCAATAAAATATAATAATAACTCAAGTCAATGATAAAACGCAGATAAACAAATCTTACATTGTGTAAAATTTATGATATCTTAACCTTTTTAATACGTAATATTTATAAAATAAAATAAAATAAAAATAAAAAAAATATTTATAGGACAGAAAATCATATTTCTGTCCTTTACTATTCTTCTACGTATATCCGAGTACATTCACGTAAAATATAATTCCTTTACCCTTTTTCAATATCACACATCATCATTATCATCATCATCATCATCATCACATCAGCTTTTAACTATCCACTGTTGAACACAGTCACCCTTCGGGGGTTTTGTCAATAGTTGCCACTCTTGACAGGCGGATTGACAACCGCATTTAGGCTTTAGAGATATTTTAAGAGGGACACTGCTGCCCATCCCTCGCCCTTCTTAGTCACCTCTTACAACACCTACAGGAAAGTAAGAAGCCTATTCTATGCCGGGACCACACGGTCAAATATCAGACATAGAGAAATAAAAACGTCAACATGCAATAGTAATTCTTTTTATTTATAAAAAAATATAATTGCTATATTCGTGAGTATTAAAAAAAAAACATCAGATACGTGAAATTGAAACTTACGGTTAAGTGTTTTATAGCGATAGTTACTCAAGTAATAGTCAATTTATTACACGTTTAACTGTTCCTTTCATCGCTAGTCAACCAATTAATTTCAGTTCAAACTATTAACATCGTTTACAGTATTGCTTGCAGTTCAACAGTTAAAGTAATGGAATATTTTTCTTTGGCAAACCTTTAGTAGAATATATATAATATATATATATGTACATTACAAAACAGTTTTATGTTCTGGATAGGTTTAAATTTAATCTGTGGTCAATGAATTTTTTAACAGTTTGCTTTTTTATTATTGTCTGTGGTAAAAAAGAAATATTAATCTATATTATAAATGTAGGTATACAGCCATGTATTTTCTAATGGTGTAACAAAATTAATATGAGACTGATTCGGGAGTAAACTCTATGAATTAAAAAAAAATGCTACTAAAATCGCCAGCCATACCAGAATCGCCTAAAGTGTTGTTCTTTTATCATATACATGAGTAAATTTGCCATATTATCCCGGCATAGAATATGCCACCTCTTCTTTTTTAATAGGTGTCATAGACGGCGACCAAAGGAACAAGGTCGAGAGATAAATAGCAGCATCCCTTTTAAAACATCACCAAAGCCTAACAGCGGTTGCCAAGCCGCCTGCAAAGCGTGGTAACTATTGACAAACCCTCCCAAATGAGTGGCCTATATTCAGCAGTGGATAGTTAACGGTTCATATGGTATGAGTACATAAAAATACGATCATATTCTTCCTTCTTTTTGAAGCCGGTTAAAAAACAAAATTTTAATTTGTTACAATAAATCAAATAGATCAGAATACTCTTTATTATTTCCTTCAAAAGATTACAATAGTAAACTTATTATAGATACAAACAATTACAAGAAATGATCACAGTGAAAAAACAATGGGCGACCTTTGGATGGAGAGGAGTAATTATAAACAGTTTGATTGGAGGCACGATGAGAATTCTATTTTAAATGCATATGGAGATGTAATCCAAGCAATAATATAAATAATGAATATATATCTGAATATTTTTTTTAACGGGTGGTAATGAAACGGTTAACCAGGGGGAACCACGTGGAGGTCGATCTAATAGGGCATATTGCTAGCAATGGGGCTGTCAAACTCCATTGTTAACAATCCCTTTCCCCCCATATCTGAATATAAGAATTACTTTTATATATTATTGTAAGACTAGAGATGTTTTTCATTTTCACTTTCTTCCACAGGAGTATCGGCGAGCGAAGCTTTAAGAAACGGGATATGCCACTCTCTTTGGGGCGCGCCAGCGTCCAGACCCGAACCCAGGCTAGCGTCTCCTCCACCAATCCAGAACCATGACACTTATCCTGTGAGAGGTAATTATTTTTAATATAACTAAATATTCCTGCGGAAATGTTAAAAATACAACTAATATAAAGTTGTATAGCATTGTAATAGAATTCATTTTATTTCAAACTTCAATAAGTCTCTCGCCAATAACGCGACATTAACTGCTAGTACTAATAATCGATGGTTTATATGAAATGAATCTTATTATAATTGATATAAGACGTATTTTTTAACATACCAAGTTCAGTAGATGAAAAAGATTGTCTCAAAAAAAAACTGACTTCAACTATGATGAAACCAGTTATTTTGATCTGAAATCTAAAATACTGAACCGATTTTGATAAAACTTCTATGGGTCTAATATATAGGTATATCCTGACAAATAAAATGAGGATTTTTCAAATCGGTTTACAACAGATCTCCATCTGTTTGTCTGTCTGTTTTGAGGTAACAAACATAAAAAAAAATTACCACCGAATTGAGAATCTCTTCTTGAAGTCGGTTAAAAATCAACGTAAACCGTAACTCCAGGATCTACATGAAGGGAGGCAATACAATATGGCTTACAACGTCATAGACTGCGTAGAACGTGAATTCCAATAAAGGGTAATACTAAATCCCACGACTACAGATTTGGGCCTGACATATCTTATCGTGAGCCCGTCAGCCCATATCGATGGCAAAATTACGTTTGTTTTATGACTTTGATTTGGTGTCGGCAGCGACAAAGGTGGCTCATCGATACGCTATCGTGTTCAAACGAACTACATGTTATGATGGTTGTAATTTTTGTATCGAACATGAAATTTTGATAAAGCCGATAAGAGGTACGGTCCGCATGAAAATAGGTTATGTAACTACTATATATCTACATTGTATGAAATAATATACATAACCTTCAAGAAAAGAGTATATTCTTTTTTAAAAGGCCGGCAACACACCTTTAATGCCGCTGGTGTTGTGTGTTGTGATGGTCACTTACCATCAGATGAGCCGCATGCTCGTTTGCCTCCTGTGTTGTAAAAAAAAAATAAATAAAGTCGCTTCCCGCCGTCTGTACGCTTATATCTTATCAACTACGCGACATATTTTAATGTGGTTTTCACCAATAGATAGAGTGATTCAAGAGGAAGATTTATATGTATAGTTTAACAAAGTTTTGTGACAGTTTGTTAAAATATGACGATAAATGTTCAAGATGTCGGAAGAAATCAAGTCGACTGAGAGCTTGCTTTAAAAATGATGCCTAATCCGTTTAAAATATAACAAAACTGTATATAGCAGTATTATTTCTCTTTTATAAGTCCGCAATGGCATATGTTTATCTTTTAAGAATAGCTTGCCCATTTAATTAATATTTGACGGAACAAGCTAATGCAAAAAATGTAAATAAACAAACTCTACTACCCATGCGAAGCCAAGGGGGATTGCTAGTTAAATTAATTACATTATTGTCTGTATGTTTCTTTCAGCATGACATAAATACTACTTCATCAAATTGAATGTGGTTTTCGCAGTTGTAAACTTGAAGGTCTAACTTAACCAAAATGCTTATGTTTTATCTTTATACATTGTCTAGAAGTGATTTGTTTTATTCGTTATTCTACTTTTGAAATCCACGCATACGAAGGAGTGGTTAAAAAGTTTATTTAATAATCATGTTGTTAACATGAGGATCGCTTTTTTACTGCTGTAGGCTATTATATCCATTGACAGTGTTATATCCAACTTTATTCTTATATAATATTATAAAATAGTCAAACAATTTGCTTTCTGTCGGTACTCTGACCGCGTCTCAGAGTTGTAAATCCGATTTGGACATATGTACCTTTGTAAGCAAATATTAGTTTACAAGATAAGGTTTTGTGGCACGACTGTTTGGACGGTATAGATTGTTCGCATTTCGACGAAACCTCATAAACACGATGTCTGTGTGTTCGTTCAGAATCTATGTACTAACTTCACACCAATCTTTTACAGGGTAGTCAGAGAATTGAGTTGTAATGACTTTTATTATATTGCCTCATTTAGTTTGTGTGCAAGTCTTCTTTCCTTTCTATTCTCTCTGACTTCTCTTCAAATCTCTTCTTAGAAATCCTATCACTGCTGAACTTAAGCTTCCCCCATAGATTGCCATGAAGAACGGTCTTGAACCACCTGCATCCACTGACTCCCTACAATATATTTGAGATCGTCACTCCATCTAGTGAGTGGTCGTTCTACGCTACGTTTTACAAGATATAATATTATTAACATTCATAATGAAATAAAATTTGTATAGAAATAATACCACTTGTAATGTATAACTATGTATAAGACATCGGGAATTTAATCTTCTTGAAGGTTTCAATGTTTTATCTATTCTAGAGATATTTTCCCTGTAATTTGATTATGCGTAGAAGAAAATGTCTACTCTAACAGCGCACAGTGGAAGACCGCCACTTAACTAGATGGTCAAATCGAACTTCAGCTTGTGGCGAATTGTACAATGATGAAATTAAGCAGCTGTTATTAATCCTTAAGCACTAAATTAATCATTGAAACAAATGTGCATTAATATAAAGTTTAAACGAAGACTATAGAGTAACCACAATGCTCGATCAATCAAAGGGTAGCATTCGTGCAAGTCAAGGCTGGTCAATATTTGCCAAATGGCTATATACGGTCACGACATTTCTTGTTTGCCCTATTATTCACGACAATGTTTGACTATGTCCCGCCAAATGGGACTAAGGGTTGTTGGACATTAACAAATTCATTTTCTAACCGACTGATAAATAAATATAGAGTTTTTCTTTTTTATTTCATACCACTAAAGAGGCAAATAAGCATACAGCCCGTCTAATGGTAAAAGGTTATGTAGTCCATGAATGCCTGTAACACCAGGGCTGTCACGGTGCCATTGTAAACCCTGAATAAACCTCAATTAATAGGATTTAAAAACCCCAATACTGTAATCTCTAGAAAACTCTAAAGTGATATTTCTTCTGGAATTTTTAACGGATTAAAATTGCTTGATGGATTTTTAAGTCATTAGACAACAACATCCACAGACTATACTTGTAGGTACATGATATAATTATATGTAATAATTATTACTGTAGCTGTAAATTGAAACTTGACAAAATTCGTTAATTTTAACCAATAGAAAATATAGATGCCCCACTACTGGGCAGAGGAATATTAGTCTACCTTGCTGTTCAGGTGGATCTGAAATAGTGTTTCCGACTTCTCCATTCTCTCGAACTGATATAGGTATATGGTTCCTTCTAAGGGTGCTTTGTTCCCACAAACATATCAAAAGCAGTTATTTAGATTTAAAAAGCAAACTACACTATATACTTTATTATTCAGACTACAATGTGGTCCATTTTGTTAGTAACAATTTTCTTAAAAACTATGTTAGTAAACTACTAATCCGATTTTGATAATAATCTGTGGAACTACTCTGAAAGTATATTTTTTCATATGAAGAAAGAACTTACTATATCGGTTTATAAATGACGAGTTTTGAAGTAGCAACCAAACAGAACTACCTCCTTTTTTGAAGTCGGTTGTTAAAGAATGGTGATACTAAAATATTTAGTTATATAAATTGCCAGCTGGATTTTTGTGACATCATGTGTTATCAATTTATAATAATTGAAGTTATAAAACAGTTTTGTAAAGATATAAAAGGATTTAGCATGAGTATAAAGTACATAAATCATACACAGATAGTAAAGGTCTTATTGCTATAAGATTTAATAAATCCATAGACCTGAATATGTACAATCTGTCACATCCAATGTGCATTTATAAGCTTGTGGTATCAAGGCTTAAAGATTTGAAGGAATCATTCGACAAATTACATACATAGGTACGAATAAACAGAAAAATAACTCAGATGGAGTTCTTAATTTGAATTTTTTTATGTCAATCAAATAATAAATATCTTCGAACGGCTCACCATTTACAGAGAATTCATCGCCACACCTAAGAACCTAAATTGTCGTATACAGTAAGGTTTTAGAGCAGTTGACTCCTGTGAACATTCAGGTTTTTGAATGAACTCCTACCCGAATTATTCTCTAATAACTAGGAAAATATAAGATTACTCAAAAAAGTTTATAAAATTTTTTTAAGGTTGTCAGTGCATACGTGACACCCCTAGTGTTGCAGGCGCTCATTGGCTACAATGACCGTTTACTACCGTATGTTTGTTTGAAACTTTTATGATACAAAAAAACAACCAATATTTTCTTAGGCATCTTTCATACTTTCGCCAAATATCTAATAGTTTTAATCTAAGGTTCTTTAATGTTTTCTTGATTCGGCTTAATATGTGTATGCCCTAACAAACTTGAGTCGCCCCGCTTGTGTAAAGTTGCGTGACTTCTCGCTATGACAATTCAATTTGGCGTCGGTCATTTGAATTATTCACATTTGTGATTGTTCCACGCCACTCTTACTAGTGCAACAAACAAAGGAACGGTCTGTTTGTTTGTATTTCTTTATACGTTGACTCTTTTATATGTTTAACAGGTACGTGCTTAAAACTTTATATTGAATACGAATTTAAAATTTAATTCCAGTATTATAGACCACCAACTAACAAATTAAGGTCCAACAAATGTTGTTTTGGCCTATATGCGCCTATATCTTTGACCTATATCCTATGAGCGCCTACAAGGTCCATTTCTTATCAGAATAAAAAATATTCTATCTCTCAAGTTAAATTAAACAACACAATCATGTTTACAAAATTTCATTGAAATTTGTCAAATGATTTTTAAGATAATCGCGAGGGAATGGCGTGATTGGAAATTTTTCTGTACATTTTAAAATACTCATGTCGTATTAAATATCTCACGGTATTCTTATATGAATTAATAAAAAAAAATTATATAATTTTAAATTTAATCTTAAAATACTACTGCAATCTCTAGAACACGAATTGACCTCTACCCAGATCCCCCTAGAAACCATCGCGGTTTATTCTTGTTGGATTCATTACGATGAATCAACTGACTTGCTCCCTCACTGGTCTGATCGTACAGATAGTGCTAGCATTCCATTATCATTCTTAAAAAATACCTTAACTCTCATAATGGCAACATACGAATGACGTCATAGAACTTAACAGTCTATATGGTTACCAGTAGCCATCAAAAATTCCATGTTAAAAAAACACCGTTTCCTCGAAATTTTGTAGTTTACAGCCCCAATATTTCCAGATTGACTCAGCCTATTGACATCCCTCAATTTGCTCTGCATGAGTATGTGCCCATGCAAATCTGGGACGGGCCGTACGGTACAATTTCTTGCTACAATCGTATGTGTTTAAAAAAGCAAGATTGTAAAGTTGGTCATTATCACAAATCCAGTCGTTTATCAAATGTGTGTGTTAATCTCAAAGGCGCCGCGTGTGACATTTCGTCATACGACATACGTGCATATTGTATATGTATTTTTTACGTCCAACAAAAATCAACCTTAAATCTTATAATTATAAAGTTCTTTTATCACTAACGATGTACCATCGTGACCATATTTATGTTTGGATACGACACAAATATGAAGACTGCTATTGTTTCAGCAAATAATTCGAGGAAACATCGAGGAGAAATCGGGACATGCGTACAAAGGCACCGCGAAAGATAATGTAGGGTCACCATGGTGTTAGTTTTTTTGTCTATTTTATTATCGTCATACACTGACCACTGCTGTAGCATAGGAAGAGTTCATAGACTACAATAAAGATAAAGCCAGAGTCACTTGCATCCAATATGCGTTTTATTAATTAAACGCAGCACGGTACGATATCGTATGATTTTATCGATACGATATTATATCGTATTATAGTTATTAAACTATTCTATTACATCGCGGTGATAAAATCGTGTCGTGTCATAAAGTAAATTATTATATTGAGGCACTTTTAAAATTCCACAATGATATCGTACATTTAACACAAAATTTTAAACGCATCTCCGTACAACTGCGTACATTTTGTTCTTCTAATATATGGTAATGATAAAATCGTACGAAATCATGTTATGCTACGCTTAATTATGAAAATGACTATTAGTATATAATTAAAAAATAAGCCGTTAACCGCAGTCAGGCTTTGGAAATGTTTTAAGAGGGACGATGCTGCCATAGTCGAGGGATGACTATTAAGTTCCCTTAGTCCTTAGTAGAATAGTTAGTTAACCGGGACTACAAGGCGATTAAAAAATATAAAACATCATAATTTAATTTAAATTTTAAAAAAAAGTAAGTCGAGAAGAAAATAATAATTTAATTTATGAATTAATTAAATTATTATTTCATGACTTAATAATGTGGTTATTTATACGACCGCAGTGATATCTAAAGGCATTTTATTCACATAATTAAAGGTATTATAAACCTATTAAACAATATTTAATCATTTAGACACAGTTTTGTTAAACACGCGTTTAAATCATAGCTGCAGTAAAATAAAAAAAAAAAAAAATTAAATAACAACAATAACAATACTAATACCTTATAAAACTTGTCATCCGTACTAACAGATGACAAGTCACCAATTCTCAACCCACGTCACTGGACGTGGGTTGAGACCGTCCCACGCGGAGCCCAGGGCGTGTTGAACCTAATCCGTTCACCCAATATCAACAAGCCCGTAAGATGTCACCGCTTGTAAGCCCTGATTTATCATAGTTATCGAAAAGACCGATCTGTCACTATATACTCACACTAATTCTCACTTGAAACGGATGTGACGAAATGCAAGATTAGTCACATAGTTACGTATTTGAGTATCATTATTTCTTTTTTATTGACATTAAAATATTCCGTTAGATTTTTATATACAAATATCTTGTAAAAGATAGTCATATAATACCATATCTCTCATTGTATTTTCTAAATTTAAAATTAGAGCATTTTACTTCGGTAAATTTTGATATAGATGGCGGCTCCAACCGTAACAAAGCAATCCTATCGTTCTTTTTTTAAAACAAATACAACACGCAGATAGAGTATAATTTATTTCGTATACGAGTTAGATCAGAAATATTTGAATTTAGAACGCGGCATTGTTTGTTAAAATTAAAAACCTAGGAATATCATATTTAGGAACATATTCGCCTTCGACGTTATTCATCCTCTAGTTCTTCTAGTTCTCTCCCGTAAACGTTGAGACTGTGGAATGATCTCCCTGCTGAGGTTTACCCTACACTACTTTTAAACTACAGTATGAGGTTTTCTAAAAATGATATATTAAGTTTTTTTTTAGGTTGGCAATGCGCATATGATATGAGACGTTTTATAAAAGCAATATAAATCCAAAACATTTTTTTTTTAATTTTTCTATCTGTATATTTTTTCTGTTGTTATACAAAAACTGCTGTTATACGAAAGTGAAACTTATATTTTTGTATATGTTATATTCCCAAACCCACGCGTACGGAGTCACAGGCTAAAGCTAGTTTAAATTAAAGATAATTTTAATTAAAAATACAATGATTGACTTTGATATACTAAACTTCTTTAAGTAGCGAATAATTTCAATAGCTCAGTATCAGTAAATTCCGTTAGAAAAACTAAATAAAAAAAAACACGATTGTAAAGATAAAGTGATAAACAATCGATTATTGAATAAAATAATAAATCTAATCTCTCACAGACCTTCAAAATAGAACTTTGATTACTTTAATCCACAGAGAAATGGATTAATTTTGAACAAATCCGGCGCGATTAGCTCCGAGGTTTTTTAATATATTTTTTTTATTCTACTTTGAAGGCAAACAAGCATACGACCTGTCTGATGGTAAACGGAGTTACCGTAACTAATGGACGCCTATAATATTAGGGATGTCGCACGCGCAACGAATTTTATTGTATATATACTAGAAATTCCATATAGTACTTAAACTCTTTTAAAAAGCAATTACTTATTGCTACGACAGAAAGTATAGTTCTTGAGTAGCGCCTCGATAGGGGCGACCACCACTCCATCCACTCCATCCCACATTCCACTTCATAATTGGAGGAGGGAAAGGTTCAGTAATAAATAAAGCTTTCAGTAATAGGATCTAACAGCCCCATTGCTAGCAATACACCATATCAGATCGACGTCAACACGATCTGGAAATTAACGTGGTTAATTCTTGAATTAGTCACAATATACTCGTGAATGGAGGAAGAACGAAACCGATGCACGTCACGTAAACTGAACACTAGATCTAAAAAAAGAGAAAAAAAGCATACAAAAATGATTAAACAAAAAACTTCTGACTTCAATTGTGACTATCTACTCGCCAGCGTATATTGATAACGCAGACGGGACTACCGTCCCATTTTTACTAAACTAGATAATAGGCTATTTGACAATGTTAAAAATAAAGTGTTAATTACTGTAATCATGTATACTGTATGTATTATGAGTTTAAAAATGGTAATTTACTATCGGAAATTGGAAATATTTTTTTATTAATTAAAATTGAAAATAGTTAATTATGCAGATTTTTCTTATAAAAATCCTGTGGATCATATTTGCTGACGAAATTTTGAGTTCAGCAATGGACGATACAGGTAGAAAAGTGTGCAAAATCTCGCCTCAAACCAAAAGGCTTAATGTCAGTCTGGGATCATCCATAATAATTCACATAGTTCATCTGAACTAAGAATTATCGAGTATCCAAAATAATAGTGAAGGTGAATGAGGTCAAAGAGTAAATTAACTTAAAATACCATAAATGTTACAAGTTTTTTTTTGTTTTTGATGGGTGAAAATGGTTATTTTTATTTGCGCTAACGGGATACGCTGGCGGAGCACCAAATATAGATGAGAATGAAAACACAATTCGTTCATGATGAATTCATCAAATTAACCATGATAGTTTCCAGTTTACGGTCTGAAACACGAATGGGACAGAGATTTCTTCCAAGCAAACGACTTTGTACAAAGTCTCGCTCTGGTGAAATGATTAAATATATATCAAAGTACATAAAAAAAACGTTATTTTTAAATAATTATTCACAATTTATTAACTTACATTGATAAAAGTGAGACATATTTGTTATAATTTAATAAATTGATGAAAACAAATCGAGAATAGGAGACGCAAGGTGATAGAATTCCTTTATATATATACTTCGGTCTTTTACTAATCAAGATTTGGATAATCCTCGCGATAAAAAAGTATTAAAAATATTATAACACGATTGATAATAAGTATTAAAAGTGAATGATAACATTTGATTTATAAGTAGTTCGTGGCAATTATTGCCCAACGTTATATATAAACATGTGTAATTCCATGTTATTTCGTGATTATTTCGCACTTACTTAGTCGTAACAATGTATAATCATATAATATTAGTATTAATTAATCTGTAAGTTTGTTTGAATGTATCTATGTATGTATATGTCTAATGTTATAACGTTAAAAAATGTAAAAGGTTATTTCATCATCATCATCAGCCATTGACTGTCCACTGCTGAACAGAGGCTTCTCGTTTGGAGGGTTTGTCAGCAGTTGCCAGGTGTTTGGCAGGATTGGCAAGTGCAGTTGGGCTCTGATGATTTTTTATGAGGGACGCTGCTACCCATTTCTCGACCTTTAAATTTTCTAAGTCGCTTCATACGATACGAATGGGAAAAGAAATGGTGACCTATTTAATGCCGGGATTACATGGCATAGAATATGTTAGGCCACTACTGAAGGTAGAAATGGCTAATTTTTTTTACAACACAGGGGGCAAACGAGCATGCGGCTTACCTGATGGTAAGTGACTGCCGCCGCTCATGATCACCCACAACACCAGCGGCATTGCATTTAAAAACTCACATGTCCGCCATCTTGGATTGCGACCATTAAAAATAATTGGTGTATCTGTGGAACAGTAATCAAAGATTGTGTCCCACAAAAAATTACTTCAATTGTGACAAAACTAGTTATTTTTGTCTAAAAACTAAATCACTGAAACGATTTTGATAACAGTTCCTTTCAGATTAAAAAAAAGAATTTTCCAAATCGGTTAAGAACTAACGGAATTAACGGAAACAAACATAAACAAAAAATAATAATAGATCCGAATTGAGAACTTCCTTCTTTTTGAAGTCAAATACCTATCAAAATTAATGTAAATGACCCTTATTTTTCATTTAGTTAAATGTACAATCAAAATACCATATAGTTTACTACACAGTATACCGTATATTATGACAGAATTAACCACGCTTCCCGTATGAATTCGATCATTAGTTAAAATACTAATAATCCGTCTGTCTTTAATTCTGATTAACGATTAATACATGACTTGCAACTTTCTATAGAATGTCTGTTGACGTTTTTAAATGACGATAACATGGTTTAAATAACTCTATGTGATAGTGTTTGCTATTTTTTTTTTGATGGGTGAAAATGGTATGGTAACCCCGCCTGCGCTAACGGTATACGCTGGCGGAGCACCAGTGAAGTTTGATAGATGAGAATGAAAACAGGCCAGTTAGCCCATGATGATGAATTCATCAGGGATTAACCATGATAGTTTCCAGGGAGAACCGCGAGGTGGTCGACCTGGTTATATTGCTAGCAATGGGATTCTCAGTCTCCATTACTAACAATCCGTTTCCCCCCTGTTTGCCATGTTGTTCCGGTATAGAATGGTTCACCCTTTCTTTACGCGTGGGTGTCGTAAGAGGTGACTAAGGAAACTTAATAGTCGAGAACGGCAGCAGCGTTCCTTTTGAAACATCAAACTTAACTGCGGTTACCAACCCACCTGATCATCATGGCAACTACTAACATAACCCCCCTATGTGGGGGAAGCATGTGTTCAGCAAACGGACAGTGGACAGTTAACGGCGTAACAGTTAGGTATAAATGCCACGTACATATTTGAATTCGATGCCAAAGAGAATAAGAACAAGACTACCTAATAATGATATAATACAATTTAATAACGAAATATAATTGTAATGAAATACATAAATATTTTTATTAATGGTCAAAGACCAACTTATCCCGCGTGACGTGGATATACGTAGTAGCCTATCAATTAATTATTTGGCCTGGCACCGACTTCCAACGACTTCGCCGGCTGCACTCTTTTTTTGAAGTCGGCTAAAAATGAAAAATAGATTTACAATTTCCACCAAACATATGTAGTAACATAGATATAGAAATGAAATAAACAGAAAACAATACGGCCCTTATAAAACTTCTTCTATATTTCACGTGTAAAATCAATAGAAATTTATGCAGTATTGATTGGCGATTCAATGGATTCCGGCCAGACCGAATGCAGTCCGATTTAGTGCGACCGCAATGAAAATGCAAATTATCTATCCGACCGCGGGCGCGTATTTTTAATTTGTTAAAAGCTCTCGGAAAAATAACAATCTGAATACATAGCAGCGCAATTTGCGGCCTCGCCTTTATAATTAAAATTGCATTAAGCGCACAAATAGGCGGACGTTAATGGCTCTAATGCAACGTGCATCGAAAAAATGCATTTGACTGACGTTCCGTAATCCAATTTCGGTGAATGCAATGCAATGAGTTTTAACTACGTACGTCATAATGTTGCTGTGTGTACTTATTATTGTTCTACCAGATCACTAATTATTTTCTCCTTTTGCATTTTTTACTTCCAATTGTCATTGTATAATTAACGCCGTATATATAATGACATAAATTAAATAATTTGACCGGTTACTTTAATTTAACACTTTTTTTTTTATACAACTTAGAATGGCAAACAAACTTACGGCCCACCTGATGGAACGTGGTAATCGTCGCCTATAGACATGAGCAGTAATATGGACAAAACAGAGTATACTGTTTCGCCCATGATACCGCCCATGCGTTGCTTACTTAGATACTACCATACTTAGATTTAAGCATTTTGTAATAGTAGTTTTTCTCTTTTACTTACTAATAATATTGTATATTGTCTACTTAATTATTGTGAGCATATTGTTGGTGTGTCTTTTATAAATAAATAAATAAATAAAAATTCCTGAGGACTCAGGTGTTATTCCTCTGTACCCTGTAAATTTCTTTGGCCATTTTCATATCTGAAACTGAGAATAAAATTTTGCAACTGTTTTGTTTAAAATTTAATCAAATAAATATCGATGTAATGGTGCAGTGCAATGAAAATAATATAAAAGGAGATTTCTGTAAAAAAAAAATAGTATAATGCACAGTCCTTAAAATTTCAACCAGGTACCTAACTCACCGTTATTAGTAGGTCCTCCAATTGTAGGTAACTATTTTAAGGAATAGTGATAAAAACATAATGCTCCTAAGTAAGATAGTATCAAAAATACATAAAATCATAAATTTTATGTTCACATGCTAACCCAACAATTATATTCTCCTTTTCGTACAATAAAAACTAAAATCAAGCCGTCAAATTATATTATCTAATTACAAAAGAGTATACCCTGAGTGTACAATGAGCCTCAATAATATCTTTCTTTACATTTCACTTCATTACCCTCAGAGGGTGCCATTCAATATTTTGCAAAGCCATAAATTCGAGCGCACTGCTAGGGCGGAACAATGAATCTAAATAACCATTAATATGTTATAAATACTATGGGGTAATAAAACCGTGTCGCGTAGGGAACAAACAAACAAGTGTACGGAGGCAACCCTTAAACGCTGCCCATTGTTAAAGAGAGCCGGGCGTGAATGTTTGGGGGACGAGTCACGAGACTGAGCTATAGCCACGAGTCCTGCCGAATCTGCCCGATTGGTTCCGCTCCAAATGCCGACAGCTGCTCCTTTTCAGATATAGGGGGCGCTCTTCATTAGCGTAACTTGTCTCGTCTCGAGATGGATGTTTGTTTTGGACAGCGTGAGTTTAGCGCTGATGGCCACTTGATGATCAATGAACGTCATTTATAGAGGGACATTGTTCGTAACGATGATTTGGTTTATGAACGCGAAAATAATAAAACAGTTTTAATTATGGGTTGTAATATAATTAAAGATAGAGATCTTTAAATATAAGAAATAATATCAATTAAAAAAATAATGATAAAGGACAAATAAAAAGTGCCAATAAAATAGGCAACAGACGACATAAAGCAATATAAACATGAAAAGTATTATGATAACTTTTGATCTTTAAAAAGATAATTCTAATACACACATGCATGCTTTTAATTTACTAACAATTCCAATATTCAACCAAACAAAAGCAACAATACATCGTGTGTAAGTAAACTAAACAAAACTAACTGTACAACGAAACGGCCAGTTGGCAGTAGTTGCGTTTAGTCCCGCCCGCGGATTAGTGAATTGTAAAAAAGATTGGGGTCCGCATGACCCGATGTGTTAATTACAGGGGTTGGGCGAGGGATGTAACAGATGAAAGTCAATTTGCTGCTGCGACATGATACGGCTCATTTCATTGAGCGACAAGTGCAACACCTGCGCTTTTTCACTTTGCCTATAGCGTAGGGTGTCTTTTGTGTGCCTATGCAAATAATAGGAAAGAATTGCATTGAAATAACTACAATAATAATAGGACATTTATTAAGCAATTTCCAAGTGTACAGGTTTTCAGTTTTGTCTGTGTTTTGTGGTTATGTTACTAGAGTACGTCGCTAGTGTTTTCTTTTTTTTGTTTATAATTCTTTTTTTATACAACTTAGAATGGCAAACAAGCTGACGACCCACCTGGATGGAAAGTGGTAACCGTCGCCTATAAACGTGAGCAGTACCATGGACATAACAGAGTATACTGTTTCGCCCATGATACCCCCCATGCGTTGCCATTCCTGAGGACTCAGGTGTTATTCTTCTGTACCCTGTTAATTCACGCCATATCCCATCCTTCAAACTGAAACACAGCCATGTTAACACAACTGCTTTACGATAGAAACACAAATGGGACAGAGGTACCCAAGCAATCGACTTTTGTACAAAATCTCCATATGCAGCGAACTTACAGAGTACGGAGATAACAGTCTAGTCTCGTCTTTTGGAATGACAACGCATTAATTACATGGGCATCACAGTACTCTATGATGCTGTATTGAAGAGCAAAATATACTTGCAATGAAACAAGATATAATCTTAAAACTTATATCTATAGGTAATTGTGATTATTATGGTAATGTCGTATTTTATTAATAGACTAGCTTTATGCCTGTTATTTCATACGCCTGAATTTTAGAAGTACTCGTAGGAAAAATCATAAAATCACCACTTCTAGATGAGGTAAGACTAGATTTTAAATTAAACCTTCGGGAACACAACTGTAAAAACCACATTTAATTTGATTCAGTCATTTTTTTTTGTAATGCTTCTATAAACATATAGACAGTTAAAATAAAAAAAATGTTTTAGCATCTACCTCTCATATATGTTTTTCTTAAATATGTATCTCCCATGCACAGGCATCGTCTTATTAGGTAGATAGCTAGATAGATATATAATACATTTTCATTACTTACAGCACACAAATAACAACAGACATAGACAGGAGGAAAAGGGATTATTAGTAATGGGATCTAACTAAACCATTGCTAGCAATACACTTTATCAGGTCAATCTACACGCGGTTCCCCCTGGAAATCATCATAGTTAATTGCTGACAAGTTCATCATGGTGGACCAATTGGCCTGCATTCATTCTCACCTATTATCTTCCACTGGTGCCTTGTCGGTGTATACCGATAGCGCGGGCGGAGTTACTATTCCATTTACACCCATTAAAAAACAGACATAGATCGACATACCCAAACATGGAAATAAAAGAATACATATACAAAAAAGAAAAATACATAAATGAAGTATCATAATTTTTCGTTCGTGCGTGTGCCTTAGTAACACAAAGTGGTCACAACTCAATTCAAGCAATAAATTATTTGATTTGCCCTCAAAAGAGCAAAACACTGATATTCTGTTGTTACAATTTTATTATAATATGTAGTAAGATAATTAATATCATTATAATTATATTACATCTACGTATTTAACAATATGCTCACAACAATTAAGCAGACAATATACAATGATATAAGTAAGTAAAAAGTGAAAAACTACTATTAAAAATGCTTAAATCTAGGTTTACTTGAACAAAAACATCTCACTCCTCACTACCAAGCTTAAGGCCATATGAACACATCAATTAAAGGTGTATACAGCTCTCACAGATAAGCGTCAATGTATACTAAGTAATAATTATATTAGAGAAGACCCAATTACCAATTTATATTATTAATAAGCCTAGTAAACTGCACTAAAGAATTACCAAAGATGTCAATATCATGGTCAACGTTTGCGGCTTTATTATACGATGACAACATTCTGTTGAGAGGAGAATTGGATCCTAAGTTAGTACGATAAGCGTATGTTGAAAATGTGTTAACCATTTTAGCAGTTCTAATATTGAAATTACGTGGTACTATCAAGCGTATATCCTTAAGAACATCAGGTATCAAAATAAGGCCATTTAAAAACTATTAAATATTAATTCTAAAACATGATTAATAAATGTTACCATTTACAGATGAAATTAAATTCGGCATCAATCGCCTGGTTGGAGACAGAACGAATGATGAAGAGGACGAAATTCACAACAACGAGTCCAGACCCGAAGGTGTTTCACCGGCTTCCCGCTGCGGAAGTCCATGCTGGGCTCCCTCGCCCCAGTCCCCACGATCAGTTCGGTCTAGTTCCCCTGAATTAGAAGTTGATTCACCACCCTCCTCACCTAGAAGACCGCCGGATTCTTCAACACCCCCAAAGAGATCAGAAGCATTTTCTATGAGCGTTCTCTTAAGACCTGACGCTCCAAGAGTACAACCACAAAGACCTTTTCTGTATCCTCCGCTGCCCTTCGCGGATCTCTTACGTGATGCAAGCAGCCTTGGTCTTCCAGGCTGGGGTGGATATAGTAATCTTTACCTACATGCGGTGCAAGCGGCTGGACCGGAATTAATGCGACTGCGAGCCGCCGTTCTTGGCGCTCAGGGTCCGTTAACCAGACCTTTGCCGATAGGCGATGTGTTCTCTTGTGTTAAATGTGAGAAAATCTTTAGTACACCACATGGATTAGAAGTTCACGCAAGAAGGTCACATAATGGGAAGCGGCCATTTGCTTGCGAGCAATGCAGTAAGACGTTTGGACATGAAATCAGCCTCACTCAACACAGGTTTGTATTTAATATATTATTTTAATTATTATTAGTTTCGGATAAAGTAAAACATTATTGCAATAGGTAGTTTGAAAAAAAAATATATATATATATATATATATATATATATATATATATATATATATATATATATATATATATATATATATTTATATATCAAATTGATAGAACTGTTCTTTTCTCAATGATTGATGTATAAAATATAATACAATGTAATAAAATTCACATATACTATGATAAAGGTAGAGTCAGTGGATGCAGGTGGCTCAGGGCCATTCTTTATGACAGTTTATGGAGTGACAGTGGATGATTAGTAGTTGAGATTTTTATGCAACTTAGAATGGCAAACGAGCTGACTGCCCACCTGATGGAAAATGGCGTCGCCTATAGACATGAGCAGTACCATGGACATAACAGAGTCTACTGTTTTGCCCATGATACCCCCCATGTGGTGCCATTTCTGAGGACTCACATATCATTCCTCTGTACCCTGTAAATTCGCTGCTATATCCCATCTTTCAAACCGAAAGACAGCCATGCACAACTGCTACACGGTAGAAACAAAATGAGATGACGATGACGATAAAGGTAAACTAAATCTTTAAATTAGAGAAATTTTACATTTCTAGGAAGCTATTTTTACTCTTTTTTTTTTATAGTAGAGACTAACAAATATTTTTTTCTACAGGGCCGTCCACAGCGTAGAAAAGGTATTCGAATGCAAGCAGTGCGGGAAAACATTCAAACGATCAAGCACCCTGTCCACCCACCTTCTGATTCACTCGGACACCAGACCCTACCCTTGTCAGTACTGCGGGAAAAGGTTCCATCAAAAGTCGGACATGAAAAAACATACATATATACACACCGGTGAGTACTTTATTTGAAAAAATGAAAAAATACACATACATAGATATTACAAAAAGTCTTAGATACACATTCCTACAAAATTTACAATTAAATAACCGGATTTAAAATTATAAGAAATAAGCAATTATCGTTCTGTAGAATAGGGGCTCTACCATGAAATGAAATTTCGTGGTAGTCGTGGAAAATAAGTGGAGCTGTTAAAGCGCCATAAACATCAAACAGTTACATTTACTATATCAGTATCAATTTTTTTAATGAATGGTTTTATGTTTTTGTATATATATGTATATGTATTATTGTATACAGATATGTATTTATTTTGATTTTAATTGTATGAGTTACTTATATATGTCAACATATTTATTATTTTTTAATAGAAACATCTATAATGTTTCCTTCTATTATTGTACGCATACTGCCCGCTAGTAATTAATGCTCATTTCCACTTAGGGTTTGCTGGAAGAGAACTCTTACAGAATTAAGCTCGCCTTTTGTACATCTTCATTTTATATATATTATATGTTATAATTTTTTGTGTACAATAAAGAATAAATAAAAAAAAATATGATGGAATGGTAACCCCGCCTGCGCTAACGGTATACGCTGGCAAAGCACCAGTGACGGATGATAGGTGAGAATGAAAAGGAAGATCCCATCATGATGATTATACTTGGAATTCGGCATGATGGTTTCCAGCGGGAACCACATGGATGTCAACCTGACAGAGTATATTGCTAGCAATGGGACTGATAGTTCGCATTACTAACAATCCCTTCCCTCCTTATTAGTAAGAATTAGCTATTTAAAATCCATAAAATATTATAATTATTGATCGATTCGATCAAACATCAATTTTCTACTATCAATCTTAATATAAGCCAGTACAATCTTATTGATATTGTATTTGAACGCGTAACCAAATCATGATACCACATTAATCCATACAGCGGTATTAAATTGTAAACCCTGTAATTTTAGACGTCATAGTATTTGATAAATATGATATAATTATGAATGAAGTATACTAATGAATATTATGTACTAGATTTTACCCATGACTTCGATAATAAGGAAATCGCAAAGTATAGGTATTTTTTTGAGTCGACTAAGGGAGCATTACTTATCACTATGCTGACGTATTAGATATATATATGTACATGTACATGATCATGTATATGTATATGTATATGTATATGTATATGTATATGTATATGTATATGTATATGTATATGTATATGTATATGTATATGTATATGTATATGTATATGTATATGTATATGTATATGTATATGTATATGTATATGTATATGCATATGTATGTATATGTATATGTTTACAGGGTTTATGTATTTTGTGTAATGAATATGTAGTTTGTATTATTTTTTGAATATATTTATACAATGTACACAATTCGTATGACTGTCTATTTTTATTTTTAACTAACAATTCAAATTTACTTGAAAAGATTAGCTTTAAAATAGAGCTGTTAGAAGAAATCTCTTTTAAAGAAGAGAGAAGCTCGCCTTTGTACATTACGTTTAAAATTAATTGTTCTTAACATTATGTTTGTGTACATAAAAGACTATACTCATTGATTGAGATAAAACTAGCCTATGAACAATATAGACTGCTTATACTACTTTTTATTTTGCAAAAGGCTCTATTTCATATAGTACATGTTTACCATATTTCATAATGATTTATTAAGCTCTTAAAGCGCTAAGAGGTAACAAACAAATTCACTTTCACATTTATAATATAAATACGCATATAATTTTATATGAATTATTCATTGCAGTATTTATACTATTTATTTGCGAAATACAATTAATTTTAAATGCTCAATTCGAAGTTTCGCTGCGTGATAGAATCCAAAATGAGAATGGCCGCTGTAGAGCCAAAATAGCCGGTATAGTCTGAAAGATCAATAAGCTGAAGTAGCAATGAGCCGATGATAATAAACAAAGGGTAATTAAATAGGTGAAGATATCAGATTTATTACCGAATATGAATCTACCTCACAGGCTGACAATGAAATGGTCTGTTTTCAACCTCCTTTTTTGAAGTCGGATGAAAAGTACACAGTAGTACATGTAAAAAATACAATTCACCAGAGGGAGACTTTGTACAAAAGTCGATTGCTTGGGTATCTCTGTCCCATTCATGTTTCAACCGTGAAGCAGTTGTTTTTGCATGGCTGTGTTTCGGTTTGAAGGGTGGGATATGGCGTGAATTTACTGGGTACGGAGGAATAACACCTGAGTCCTCAGGAATGGCAACGCATGGGAGTAGCATGGGTGAAACGGTATACTCTGTTATGTCCATGGTACTGCTCATGTCTATAGGCGACGGTTACCACTATCCATCAGGTGGGCCGTTAGCTTGTTTGCCATTTTAAGTTGTATAAAAAAAAACATTGGGTAACAGATAAATGGGATTGCTTTCTGTAGCTACTTAGAAACTGTTTTAGAATAACATTTATATTATATGTAAGTGTAATTATAGTAACCAGAAATTATAGTAAAAAAGTTATAGGCTATTCCCCCCATAAACCAAATTGACATATCATCATCATTGTTTAATTAGTCGTATTTAACAACGAATTAAATATATAAAATTACATTATACTTCCTTGTGACGTAAAATAAACAAATAGCTATCCAAAATCCTGTCCCATTACGACTGAGGATAGAATTTCATAGACTATAACTCAACCAAACTCCGCACCGCTTAGTTGCCCGCAGTAATTCAGTAGCGAAACTCTGTCAAAACATCTTAAGCCACCCCCCGCAACGAAATTAATGTACATTAACACCTAAGATGAGCTAGGTGGTTGTTTTATAATATCGCATAATGCGAGGATGCGCCCGAGACGTTTGCGGTTACATTATAGAGGCGATTGGGTTACTCGTACACACGGCTGCCTTGTGCGTCGAATAAATAATTGAAAATAATGACCGATAATCGTATTTTGCTCCGTTAATCTATTTGTAATAGTATGAGAAAAACAAAAAACATAGTGAAAGTGTCTCAACTTTATTGATTTTATAGTGTCATTTGTATTCAAACAAGATATTAAACTTATAAATTTTTTTATTGTCTGACAAAAAAATTGCTGAGTTCATGCTTGCATATTTCAGTTGAAACAGCTTTTTAAAGAAGATAGTATAAAAAAATTTATTTAAATTATGACTTTATTTATAAATAATTTAAGAAAATTTACTAACAACTGTAGCTACAACGTATATACATATATACTACGTATATAACTGTAGCTATAGCGCTAAAACGTCACATCTGTTAGATTACACATAGAGATTTCATGTTATAAACTCAAGTAGTTTTCATTTAATTTATCCGTGAACATTACCAGTGAAAGACTTTATATAAGAGTCGTCAAGCATCCACTTGTTTGTGTTTTGGTTTAAAGAGTGAAATTACGTACGAAAATATCACATTGTAATCCTAAGAAATGGCAACGGGTAATGGGTACCATGAACTTCACAGTATGTTCTCTAATGTGCTTGATTCTGATCAATTGTATGCCACGGTTACCGCTTTCCATCAGGTGGGCCATCTGTTTGTTTGCCATTATAAGTATCATAAAAATTATTCCTTCTAATCCAAACGTTGCCTGGAAGAGATCGCTCTTAGCGATAAGGTCGCCCATTGTTTTCTCATTGTGATTATTTCTTGTAATTATTTATAATTATAATAAGTTTACTATTGCAATCTTTTGGAGGAAACAATAAAGAGTATCTGTCTATCTATAAAAAAATCTTATCAATCATTGGTGAATTGATTTTGTTTTGAAATAAGAGTACTATTGCTATCTGTAATGGAGCAAAATTTATGTATTTCACTGTGATAAGTAAATCATTATTTTCCTGTGAGTGTAATAAGAGGGTACTAAGGGATCTAATGGCTGAAGGATGAGCAGCAGCGTTCCTCTTAAAGCATCACCAAAATCTAACTGCGGTTGCCAACCCGTCTGCTAAGCGTAGCAATTACTGGCAAAACGAAAGAGGACAATTAATGGTTGTTACAATAATATATAATAAGTAAATCATATTTTGTGCTCGTCAGCCCGCTGGCCTGTGTGTATCGCTAGGCCCTTCATGAATATAAGATGTTGCGGTCTTCGCAACGTTGTCTCACTAACACTTAAGTCGCTGTGAGATTCTCTGAGACCGTATTACACTTAACCCTCAACTGGTATCATGATTTTCATGGACTGTCGTATTATTTTCCTGCCAACACAACAATCATGTACATTTTAGGGTTAAATTCATATAACATGCTTGTTTAGAGTATAAGTTGTTACTTTACGTAACAAATTAGTATTTTTTTTTTAAATCTGTGTGAATATAATCAATATTACATTTTGGAAGATGTTACGATTAGATTATTATAAATTTAATAAACTTATTTTGTCTCTCAATTGCGACACTTGATTTTTATATGCAACTTAGAATGGCAAACAAGCTGACGGCCCACCTGATGGAAAGTGGTAACCGTGGCCTATAGACATGAGCAGTACCTTGAACATAACAGAGTATAGCGTGTCGCCCACGATGCTCCATACGTTGCCATTTCTAAGGACTAAAATGTTATGCCTCTGTACCCTGTAACTACACTGCCATATCCCACACTTTGAATCGAAACACAGCCATGAAAAAACAAAAGCTTTACGGCAAAAACACTAATATTCGTACAAAAGAACTGTAAAAATTTACAACATTAAATAAGACATGAAAGACTCATGAAAATATTAATAGTTTATTTATTATTGAACAATTATTCATAATAATTGTGGATGTAAGTATATTTACTTTTGATACAGGAAGGAAGATGAAAAAACTAATTATTCAATACTAATTTGCACTTAGGTAATTGCATTGCATTGCATTGCATTGCTTGTTTCCTTATTTGTATAAACGTGACGTGCTAAGTACTGAATAATACTTACCATTTTGCGATACACGACAAATGCAATTTGT